AAGCAGGCTGATTTGCAATGTGATTGGCAATATTTCCAGGACTTTCTTACGAGCTATGAAAAGAGAAGTGGTGGGATTGTTCGCTGAGGAATGACTTACTTTGCCTTTCTCCAGTTTACAGCCCTGCTTTCCAGTTTTAAGTTTTACAACCCAAACTCAGGGTGAACCCAGCCTGGGAAAGAGACTGGTGGCTGCCTCCCCAGAGCAGCAGTGACAAACACAATGGTTCCCAAGGAGGGGACCTGTGACTCCTGGCAATACTGCTTGGCATACTGTTGGCAAGATGACTTACTTCATGTATTGGAGTGGATAAACTCTACACCAAGCCACAGATGGAGAAACATTTTGCTTTCTTCTGTAAGACAGTGCAAATCACTGCAGGCTGGAGAGAAGTGCCACTTGGAGGCAAATCATCCCTTGGCTTGCTGTGTTAATGAGTCTAGAAACAGAGGTGCCTCTTTGGGCTCCAACAAAAAGTGGTAGGTGTAAAACACTCGAACTTGGAAGAATTAAACGTACTGAAATCCAGACATTTAAGGGAAGCCCTTATGAGAAGGAGCTTTATATTCAGAAATAAAGAATATGGGATGCTGTAGGCTGAACAGGTTCAAAGGGGAGCATCTCAGGGGAGTTCTGCTATAGCAGAACCTACAGCAGAGCCCTGCCACTCAGAGAGACTGTGCACTGAGGAGATTAGGCAGAGGCAAGGTCCAGCAACTGTGCTGATCCCACGGGAGACAGTGATATTGGATGTAAAGGCATTGCTCTCTGCCAGTCAGTGAATGCTTAAAAACATTTCTGGGAATATTTTGGCAAATTGGTAAAAGAACATGCTCAGTGATCTGATGTTCCTTTTGGGTTTTGATGATCACAGCCTTACGAAAACAAAAAAAAATTTAAATGACCATCAGAGAAAAATAACTCAAAATAGCATTTGAACTAGTCATGCCAAAATGTCTAGCAGTGGTGGTGTGCTAGATATCCACAGGTAATAGGAATATCACGCAAGTTCAGTCGAAAAAAGGCACTCAATTTTCAAGATATGAATTCTAGTCTCAGATTATTAAAGTCCCTTCCAACCCAGGCCATTCTAGGATTAGCTGTGGATTACCTACAAATCAAAAATAATGCACAGACAAGATTTCAAATTCACAGAAAAGAGTTTAAACAACTAGGGAAAAAGTTTCTAAAAGAATTAATGCTTTCAATCCCAGAGTGGACACAGTTAAGTATTTAAATAATTATGCAGTAGTTGTTAGTTTTCTGCTAAAAAATTGGCCAAGCTCTAATAAGATAGGGCGAATTTTATTTTGCAATTTTTCCTCTAGTGCCATGTGCTTTGAAGGTGTACTGAGATCTTTCTTCTATACTTTGTCACTTTGTGATGATGATGTATGTGATGGAGATGCCCAGTCTACTGGAAACTCTGCAGATGGATTGCCCTTCCCATTAAGAGCAGTGGATCCTTAACTGAATTTTAGACAAGCACTGTCACTACCCAGTGCTCTGCAGCTTCTTGTTTGCCTTGCAGCTCTGACAGTTATCCCACAAGTCCCACATTTGGTGGTTCACAAGCTCCAGACATCCATCTACATACACTTAGAGAAAACCAGTATCTTATTTCAGCAGCTGAAAGGAAAGCCAAACAAGGCAGCATATGTTACTAATTCTTTAGGGTTATATTTAGAGGTGCCAAGAGGATGGAGCCAGGCTCTTCTCGGTGGTACCAAGTAATAGGACAAGAGGCAATGGGCAGAAACCGATGCACACGAAGAACTTTTCCACCGTGCCGGTGATCATGCCCTGGAACAGATTGCTCAGAGAGGGTGTGGAGTCCCCCTCGCTGGAGGTATTCAAGAACAGTCTGGATGCAATCCTGTGTCATGTGTTCAAGAACAGCCTGGATGCAATCCTGTGCAATGTGCTCTGGCATGAGCCTGCCTGAGCAGGGAGGTTGGGCCGCATGACCCACTGTGGTCCCTTCCAACCTGCCCCGTTCCGTGATATTTTTACTCGCCCCCCACTGCACTCTGAGAGGTGAGGCAAAGAGTCATTGTAGATGATTGTAGAAGAAGGCCCTGTAGCACACATCTCAAACTGTGGTTACACAGTGATTTTCCTTGTGCTGGGGCAGAGAACAAGCAAAAAGGTAAGGGAGCTCCTGTGGAAACAGAGAGACACAGATCCGGTGATGTACATACAGACTGGTGATGTATATATTCCCCAGCTCTTCTTCCTTACCAGGAGTTCTCCATGAGTATTGTAGGGAGAAAGGAGCATTTTGCCTCTGCCTCCAGGCCACAGATGTCTCTGGTATCACTCACTTTAAATTCTAAGATTGAAGTAAGTTTACCTACTAACATGTTTTCTGCCATGAGTGACATTGCTGCAAACCAATAATTCAGCAGAGGGAATAAGAGGTCCAAAAGAACAGTGGATTGTATCATCTGAGCTTACTGACTCAAAAGTCCTGTGTTCAGTTCCAATTCTCTCTAAAAACAAAGCTGATTTCCTTAGAACAGAAATGTATATTTAAAAAAAATCTTGCTCCACTTCCCATGTTTTTACTTTATTGGATCTAGTTATTCCAGGCAAGTGACAGTTTTAATCAACAAGAAACTCAAGTTTCTTAGGTACAGCAGCAAGGTATGATATTCTGCCAGCAAAGATAAATTCACTGAGGGTTATGGTAATTAATATGTACATTAGAAAAGGAGACTTTCCATCCACCTTTAATGAGCTATTCTTGGTACCAGAAGTATTTTCCAATACATGATAGCAGAAGGAGATTTAACCTTACCCTGTCAAACTCAGCAGATAGATCAAAAGTGTTACAAGAGGGGGAATTCCAAGTCATCTCAATTATGTGGCACCACATGAAATAATTATATTTGGTCACCCTTTAGAACGATATGTTCCTGAGGGACAACTTTTATGTACTGCCCCTCGAAACACAACTATGCTCTGACTGTGCTGCTTTTGATTTTTAAATAGCTCACACAGCTATAACCTCTGCATGTTATCTCTAACCATGGATGACAGTATTATTTTTACAGGCAGATACCATATCCTTGGAAGACTTTTTGTTTTCCCCCTTAACTATCCCGGTTTACAAGGTAAGACAAAAGAAATTAAAGGCTTTGTTGAATCTTCTCTAACACAATGGAAAGTTATCAGAGAAGATTTTATACTTTTTAGTGACAGAGCTAATATAAAATGCAAAAGACTTTTCTTGAAAAGAATGAAAAGAATACAACCAATCAAACCTCATTCAGTTAATGTGCAAACTTGACTCAAAGCAGTACTTAAAATACATTAACCTGAAAGGCACAATGTACCTGATTCAAACTTAGAAAAATGCTTGTTTTCACGTTTCAGAGTATTGAACAGGTAATAAAACGAATTTAATTTGCTACAGAAACACAACAGAACCCACCTCAGTTCCCTGCTGTGTCAGTGTTGAAAGAGGTCTTGATGTTTCTGAAAAGCTGATCCCTAACATACAAACGGGAACAAGCAGGATAGACACTAAAAGCTGAAATACTTCAGTTTATTCTAAAAATGAAAAATCAGGGCAAGGCACTTGACTAATATATTAAGTTAAATTTGCAAAACATTTCTATATTTAAGAAAAACAGAGACAAGAGGTGATAGCTTGTATTGGTTTGGGTTTTTTAAACTTTTGTTTTTTTTTTTTAATTGTTAATAGGAATATCTATACTTCATGCTATAGAAAGGACATTAGAAAAACAGGAAACATAATGGCAGTGGTTTTGGTTTTTACAGTTATGAATGCTCATGTTTCATTTTGCAGAAAAGGAATGGCTCCTTGTGCAACTCCTTGCAATACCAGGGACACATTTTGATGACACTTGCATCTCATATTTCACAGTCCTGTCCCTTCACCAACATGCAATGAGGTCATGAAGAAACCATAAAGCCAATCTCATCCATCGACATGTGGCTCAATTTTCTTCCTTGCAACTTTAAATTCCTTAAGCATATCAATGCCACATGACCTACTGTAAAAAAGAAAGAGAAAAAATAATCAATGATAAACCAAAAAAAAAAAACCAAACCTGCGATACGCAAAAGATAAATATACAAGCACATGAATCAGGAAAAAAAATAAAAAAGAAAAAGTACTAATTTAGGATATTAAAAATTTCATAAAGGCAGTATTTATAATAACAGAGCTAGCATGAAAATTCCTCAAAAGTGAAAAGAATTATATTAGAAAAATGTGCTGAAAAGTTTTATTTCAAGCAATGTAATACAACTCAGATACAGAGCTCTTAGGAATTCTCTGTAAATCTCACTCAGAGCTGCAAGTAACCCAGCAACTTGGACATAAACATGAAAAAATCATAGTTCTAATCACTTGTAGTAGTGCTAGAGTGGTTTCAACCTACCAGAGCATACATTTTTGGCAGGCACAGAGACAAGACTAAAAGCAAGTCCATTCATTTAAAAATGCAAAGAACGTGTAAGGTATTTTATAGTGCTAAGAAAATAATAAGACATAAGCACTTGGTCTTGCTTTTTCCTCCCTTTCAGGGTGTCTAATGTATGTCCTCATTAGTCAGTTATTCAAATGTTAGGTATAAGGGATGACTTAAGCTAGATTGATATTCACTGTGAGCATCTTTTAATGGAATGATTGGAATAATGATGTGATTGTACAGAAGGTTTATGTTCCTTGAGACTCGAGGGTTCCTGAATGACTGCAAAGTAGTCACAGTTCACAGATATTACATATATGTATGAAAAACAATCCAGTGAAGATGTGAGTCTATTTTGAAATGAAAAAAAAAAAAACAAAGGAAATAGAACGTAGGAGTGAGAAGGATGAATAAGTTTTTGGCATTATGTAACACAAATGATACAGACACAAAGAAAATTTTGGTGGATACAGCTAAACTATGTGCTTTTCAGGTAGACACAAAGTAAGAGAAGCTAAAACACTGTGTGTAAAATCACATAGGTAATACTTGCCCTTAAGTGCTGCAGAGGAAGGTTTTGTGTTCAGAGGAGGATGGTCCCGATTTAGAGAATGACTCAGCTCATTCTTTCAGTTTTCCTTGTACACGTGTTGAATCAGATGACAACACAGGAGTTACTGAGGAGAGAGCTGAAGGACTCCATAGGTCAGGGAGCAAAAGAGAAACCATGGATTTTAAGAGTTGTTCAGTATTTTAACTGTGTGCAGCTGAAACAACAGAAGGAGGAAATAGAACAAAAAATTCTGGCAGTGAGGACAATTAGCTTATGAATGAAGAAATCTCTTTATTTGCATAAATTAATGCCTTAACTGTAAATAGAAAAAGGACCAGATAATGACCAACAGAAATGTGTCAGGAGAGGACTTGGTGTGGTTTATGAGACTAAGCTTTAATGGCAGTAAGACATCAAAGACCTTTGAAAAGATTTTTACTTTATAGTGTACTATTCCTACTATAGTGTACTATTATGGCTACTTTTTGACTACTATCAACCTGATTGGCCAGAGACAGTGAACTGTATCACTGTTTAAAAAAAATGTTAAATTTATAAAAGTTTGATGTTAAGGCAAAAATTTATATCTATATCAATATATATATTTAACAATACATGAAAATCTATCATATAATAATAATATAATAAAATAATATATATTATATAACCTTATATTATAATTATCATTTATCTGTCCACAATTATTAATATTCCAAATTCTTTGAGGAAAAAGAGCTGGAACAAAGGACAACATAAAAATAGTTGTTAAGTTTCCCCAGAACAGAGCATTTTGAATATTTCAGTATTTCTACAGTATATTTATCAACAGTTGGCTAATGTAATAGAGTAGTGCACAACTAGCATATTTGCTCATGGCCTTAACAGTCACAGATATAAGGCTTTTTGTAATGTCTGCTGGGATTTTAACATAAATTTGGCAAATTCTACAAAAACAGAACAAACTGGAAGAGTTACTGGGTTTATGTTTTTTATATTCTATATTGACAAACTACTAAATTGCAGACAGGCTGTAAAAGAGACTTTTATATTGCATCATTATAAATATTCGTGATGTCTTCCATTTATAGATGCTTTAACTGAGTAGCTAAATGACAAATCTGAACTTAACAATGCAATGACCTCCAGTTTTATACAGCTTTGCTGACTACGCACTTCAGCAAAACTACTGCGAATTTGAAAAATCAACCTGTCTCTTACCTGTCTCTTGGATTCTCCTCTAAGAATTACAGTTTTATATTGCTGAAACTACTGATTTTAGTAGAGTAAATGTTTGTATAATAGTGGAGTAAAATTACAGAGGATGGCAGATATCTCCTGAGAGCCCTGGAGTAAAGATATTGTGGAATATGGGAACTAGCTGTGAATCAATGAGATGGGAGCAGATGGTGCAAGGAAAAAGTTTAAAGATAAAACCAAACGTACCCCAGACTGAGGAATTTTAATCCTGCAACAGCAACATCACTGTTCTTCTCATGAAGACCTCAGGGGCTGAAGACTTGTCCTAAAGCAAGCCCCCTCTCTCATCTGCATCAGGAAGACTGCCAAGCTCAGGACCTAGAGGCACATTGTGGAAAGGTGACTACAGCATCAGAAAAGTGAGGCTTTTCTGCAATAATCAGACAATTTAGACTGTTAGAATATTTACTGGACTATGGTAAACTCTTAGCACTGTGTATATGGTGTAGTACACAAGATTTTGAGTGTAAGAAATCGGTGAAAAACATGGGCAAACCTGTTTGTGAACAATTCCAGTACGTTGGTGAGCAACCAAGCCTCTGCCAAAACTTTTGTAGGTGGAAGCCTACAGTCACCATAGAAAACTGGGAATGAATAGAGCAGGTGTGCAGTCCTGTCTTCAGGCAGTTACCTCATTTGCTGTAAAACAGATGAATTCTGGGCAACCCAGGTACTCCAGGATTGCTAATGATCCAGGGAAAGCAGAGAAACAGTAGTTACATCACTCTATGATCTGGCTGTGACTCACTCCAGGCAAACTTTGCCTGGCTAAGTGGCAGTCTTTGTGATGGATAATGCTAGTTTGCTGAAGATCTGAGAGGAAGAGGAGAAAATAGAAGGCAGTCAGAGCAAGATGGTGACAGGTGGACACTGAATGGAAGCCCAAAGTTTGCTGGTTGTTGCTTTAAAAGCCTCTAATCACAGTCCTATGTGATCAGAGATCTCCATTCCTTTCTCGTGATGCAGCTGAGTCCAGAGTGGTTTTATTATGGTTACCTATAAAGGACAAAACCAGGCAAACTGACAGGGGAATCACAGAGAAAACCTAATCTGACTTCTCACTTGACATGTCCACTCTGCCCCTAGAAATATCTGCCCTCCTCTCCCTTTTAGAAGAAACAGCTGAGCTGAGGGAATGGCATATTCAGCAGGGACTAGGTCTTTGAGGTACACATTTGTCCAAATCAGCCAGTTCCTGCAGCAGCAACTGTGAGTGGGTGTGTAACACGGCATGAGCTTTAAAAGGAGGAGCAGAATTTGAAAGATTGTATCACCTGGTAACTGATCACAAGCCAAAAGAAAGCAGAGATGTATTAGAAGAAGAAAAAGCTGTCAGCCTCTGTTCAAAGTTTTGTGGATAGCAGAGACAGACAGACCTTGAATTAGGACTAGAGTGCATTTTAAGATCTTGTAGTGGATGTCCTAGACACAAAAATGCATTTAATTTTAGGGCCTATACACACTGGCATAGTACAGAAAGAGCTGGCAACCCGTATGAGAGAAGAAGTGACTTAGGGGACAATAAATAATGGTAAACAAAACAAACAAACAAACAAACAAAATCATGAGCATGGATGGCTCAGAAGCTGTAAAAACTGCCTTTTTTTTTTTTTTTTTTTTTTTTGGTCAGCATTTGCTGTCAAATATTCTTCTTTGGTAAAAGTGGCAAAAAGGGGATGACAAAGTGAACAGAAGTGGAAAAGTCGTCCATGTGCATATGCAGTGGTAGGAAATACTATAGTAAGGAAACAGTCGGACCTAGAACAAACACAGACAAAAACAACATGGGAAAACTGTGAAAGAGAGGTGACACTGGGACAATGTTTCCAACAAGGCCCCTACCAGATTGGCAAAAGGATAAAGGGAACTGATTGCTTATGCCTCAGCTTTACAGACAGCAAAGAACAGCCTGATCCCTGGGGATAGCCTGCTGTCCTGGTGGAACTGTGGGACAAGCCTGGGTGCTGCCTGAGAAGACAATATGATGCAAAAAGATTGAACCCCTGGCACAGGCTGTGACCTGCACAATTGAGAGGGCTATGCTGGTCAAGCGGGCAGAGGAGGAGAATGAAGTGCTAAGAAACAAAGAAGCTGGATATTCAAGCAGATATCCAGGGGGAGTTTTGAGAGAGAAACGGAAGGTGCAAAGAGATATCAAAAAGGAAAAGTGTTTTGAACTGAGGAAAACTGACTGAAATCCATCTGTGCTTAAACTACTCTAATGGAGCTGGGGTTGGATTAACTTGGAAAACCAAGTTACCCATATAACACAGGATGGTAGTTAATATCTTGCAAGTGGAAATTGCTATTTGGATTAAAAAATACATATTTAGCTGTTTGCTGCAAAGAAGAGCTGGAATCAAATGAAAACAAAAACAGGTGGAGGATTAATTAACATATCTAATAATGTGAAGTAAATTTTCTTACTAAGTAGTTCTTGCAGTAGTATGTACTTCAATGTAAAGTGTTCACAAAACAGAAATGCAGCTAATAATCCTGGATATCCTCACAAACTCATACTGAGGGAAATGCTTTAGCCTGGCTAACTTAGATAACTATTAATAATATTTGCTCATTTTAGTTTCCACAGCACAGTATAAACAATCCCTTCCAAATGTATTCACACTCTAAGCTGCATATCACTTATTTTTCTTTACTGTATAATTTTATTAAGCTACATGCATACAGGAAAACTGAAAGCCATACCACTTTTAACTCAAATGCTATGGCTGATTTTAAAAACAAGAGCATGATATAAACCTGAGTAATAGGAGACCAAGGATCCAAGCTAAAGGATTTATCTCTAAGCAAGAGAAAACCTGTTTCTTGATGTGAAGACAGATTAGTTCTTTCAAATCCATGAATATCAATGTTCCTAACAAAAATGTCTGTGTGTATGTGTTTGTCTTGGAGGAAGCTTTCTGTATTTTTAAAAATACAGAATTTTGAGTGTTCTAAGAAGAAAAGGGGAATCACCCAGGTATAAAATATTTCCTGTGGAAAGCTGTATTGCATGCAATACAATCACCTATGGCAATGGACTGCATACTTGTAAGAATAGCTCTGTACCACTGGGATTGTGAGGACTGCACCTTTAATTATTGTACTGGGGGTCTTTTAAGACATGTAGAAAATAGTGGAAATCATGGGTCCTTAAGCTGACAGGGTATTGAAAAGTGACTTAAGTTTATAATACACAACCTTGCATGATTGTTCAGCTAATTCAGGTAACTTTGGAGATTTATAGGTATAGCATTGCTGAGATGAGAGACGTGCATTTATGAAGATGGATTACTGAACGGAACTGATGTTCTTCACAGTCTGTTTAGGCAGATTCTGGAAAAGCATGGCTCAAGGCATGTGCTACACATGTAAGGATTATAGTTTTCCACATTTTGACAATTGCTTAGGTCAGAATTTGACCAAGGTGCAAGTATGAAATAGTTCCAGTCATTGTGTCATTACCTATGGAGGGTCCAGTTATGTTCATATACATTCAGAAATCACTGTGCACTCTCTCAGAGTGTATGACAGGCATCTATGCAATGCAAAGGTGCAAATTACACCATTACTTTAAAAGCAAGACTGTGGTCTCCGACATCTACAGAAACATGAATATCACACGCCATAGTTGTAATTTTAGTTGCTCAGTGGTTATACATCATTATAGCCTCAGACTCTAAAGTGTTATCATCACAAAAGACCACACAGGAAAAAATTATAGTGCTAAAAATTTTTCTGTATAACAAGTTAAATTGCACTATTAGTTTGTTTTTTGGGTTTCCCCCCACCTCCTACCCTAGCCCCTAAGTTAATCAGACCTCTTGGACAATGAAACTGTTAAATATTCACTGGACTAACAGCAAATTCTTAGTTCCATGTATGGTGTTCTCTTCTGACTAGAGCAAGATTTTGAGTGTAGCACTAAAGAACTGTCCCATCTTTCTGTTCATTCAAAACACTACTGGTCACACCTAAAAACCGACTGGGTCAACTGCCACCGACTGCCACTAAAAAGTAAACCAGAACTGATGCTGTCAAGATCTAAAAGACTGCCTGTGGAAAGGATTTTGAACTTCCAAAAGTTCTGCCCTTCACACACAGTTTGCACCAGATTCGCCTGCTTTTCCCCACCCCCCTGCAGTGAGCTCAGTACACAAATTCACGAATGCAACTTGGGTACTATTCTGCTTTTTGAAAACTAAAATAGTTCTACATATACTAATGAATTTCTATTGACAGAGCTGCCAGAGCATTAGCACTGTGCATCTCCTCCTTTCTCCTCATCCCACTTGACCTCCCGAAGGATTAGATGTGTTACCCTCTGAACGATTATCTGGCAACCTCACTTTCTTGTCTGAGTAAAAGGCCAGGCAGCCTAAACGTCTGTAGTGCTTCGGGCAGGAATGTGAGACAATGCAGCCAGCCTTCGAGAAACACCCTAGGTAAAAACATTTCTCTGGGATTTTAGGAAAGACCTGACAATGAACAACAAGAAAGCAAAATTGGTGCTAAAGCTGTGGTATTTCATTCCTAATTCCAAGTGTATTGGATACAAAGCACGCAATGTTTGGCTACTGTTAACAAGTTGCTTGTTTAAGAGTAATATATTGGTACAGAGTCCCACTGCAATAATAGCAAGAATGTTCCTCTGGGACAACTATCCCTGAGCTACTTATTTTTTAAGTGTTAAACATACATTGGCACATTGCCAAGTATTGTGGGTATGGAGTTAAGGAGAGAATCTGAAAGTTTTTTGTTCTTCCCCCAAAACATAAACACATATGCAAACAACAAGAAACAGCAGTACTGGGAGTTGTAGAAGGTTGTTACTATTGGCAGTAATTACTTTTGAGAAATAGATATAGAAGGCATACAAACAACAGGGTATACACAACATCCAAAAAATATCATTATATTCCTTAAGTTTGCTTGTGTTTTGTATCTGTAAAGTGTTTCACAAATTCTTATTTGATTTTTTAGTAAGAATCAGGCATTTGCACAACAAATATTTTCTGCATCTGCTGATATTTTTAAATTGGCATCACTTTTTGAAGTGTCTTGATTAATGCGTAAAAAACTTTGAAAAATATTTACGTTTTTTGATATTCTGTTGTATAAAATGAGGACACCAAATCATAATAACACTGTAATAGCGTGAAAGCAATCATTACTTAGGACTTTCAAGTTGTTGGAATGTGTTTTTATTTTGCTCAGAATGGTTTTTATTTTGCTCAGCATTCCCACCGACTGTGCTTACCGGAATGTCACAACACTAAATGTGGCTTTTTAGTATTTCAGATTGTACTTTAGTTTGGATCTTTGAAGACATGTTGTTGTATAAAGCTCCTGATACCATGACAGGGCAAAGGTAAAACCTTATAATATAATATCAATACCCTACATTTCTTATGAAACCCCAACCTATAAATGATATAGCAACAGACACTTGGAATGTTTGCTGCGACTTTCAAGGATATGTGCTTTGTTCTCCCTATGTAATCCAACAGCTGACTCTTTGCTTGAAGTACAGTGTTAATTATGGAACTGTGACATGATGTTTGCCAGCAGCTGTGCAACACTGGCCTGTTCTTTTCTCCAATGTGTCTCACCTTGGCGAATCCAAAGATAGGGATACGTGTCATAGAACAGTTTGGGTTGGAGGGGACCTCTAAAGGTCACCTACTCCAACCTCCCTGCAATGAGCTAAATCTCCATGACCAATGTTTGATGTGTCTGGGAAGACTATCGAGATAAAGGATAATTTTATTTTTTTTTTAAGGGGGGCATTTGCATTGGATCTGGATGCCAACTGCGCAATTAATTTCTTATGGATCCTTGGACAAATAACAGGGAGAAGTATGGCTGGCCAATGTGGCAAAGCAAGCTAATTTTCTTTCAAATTCTGAACTCCATTTTGTGTTATGTACTGAATGTGCAGAAGCCAGCCCAAAAGTGGGAAGCTGCAATGAGTACCATAACACGCTCAGATGCTTGACACCTGTATAAAGCACACAAGGGATCCTTCAAGAATCCATTCTTCTGGAATACTGAAACATGAATCTTTTTGAACAGCTGTCTCTGTCCACAGGAACACTTTTTCTTGATAGTGCACATTGTGAGATCCAGTATAGGCACAAGTGATAGCTTGTGTTCCTGTTTCTCATGGACTACCTCTCATCTTAAAGACACCTTCAAGGAAGGTGCAATAGCAATAAAAAAATGCATTAATCTCCTCATATGCAAGCAAACAAAGTGGGCCAATCATAACTACATGTAAAAAGACTTCCAGGAAAGGGAGCTGGGAGGAGTTCTGCCTAGACTGAAATGATGACAAATGTTCGATATAGCTTTTAAGTATCTTGAATTTAAACATACAAAGGACATGCCTTGTAACTTGTCACTTGGAGAGATTAGCAATTCTTAAATGTTCTCAACACAAGAGTTAAAAAATAGCCTGCTGTCTTTGGTACCTGCCATCTCTCCTCAGACAGATTGAACTGTGGGATTGGGCAGTCTATAAATTAGGAATCATCCATGACAGCTGCAGAACAGAAGCCTGTACACCAAAGACGACTCTGACAGGCTTAGAAGCATCTTACAGAGCCAGGCCAGGACCAGGGACCAGGGCTGCTCTAAGCCACTTAGAAGGTTTAGAAGAACCTGAAACTCAGGAACTGGTTCTGCAAGAGCCAGTCAAGGCCAGAGACTGCACAGATCCATTCTGGCTGAGATAAGAACAGACATTACTGATGAGGGAGAATCTGAATCAGTGCCTTAGTGAAAAAAAAGGATTTTTTTCCTAATTTTTTCCTCAAGTTCAGCATCTTTGTCATCTTTTGTAAAGTAAGTGCAAAATATTAGTGCATCAAAATGGAGGTACTGCGTGACAGGGGTAGACATTTTTCTCTTCAATGCTTTTAAGATCTTCGGTGGCTTTTAATCCAAACCTCTGATTTCTGTTTGATCTTTTCATATTCATCTAAATTGATGTTATAATAATTGTAACTGCACAGTTACTGCTCAATATTGCTACGCAAAATTTTCAAGTATACATAACTTAAGCATGAGTATCCTTTGAAAGACTAGTTAAGAGTAATTGATAAAGTCCAGCCCTACCGGAAACTGGGTGCCAGACACACAACTTAGACACCACTCCTATACTGCTGTCCCCACAAAAGAGCAGTTATACCCAACAGTCCTCCTCTTCCTATTTCTACTGGCAGCAGCAGCTGGCAGCTTTGTATCCACCTCTGACAAATGCACAAAGACACATTCAGCTGTTGGGACAACACTAATTGTCTGAACTGCTGTTTTTGCCTCCAGGTAGAGGACTAAATGGCAGTGTTCTGAGAGTCAGCCTCGGCCTTTGAGTCTCAGCAGGTTCATGGTGTAATAGATGATCACAACAATGTATGCCTTAGTGTTTTTGAGTTACTTTTTGATAAAGCAGGCAGATAAAATCACGCCCAAGTTGTAAAATGAAACATGAGTAGACAAAACCGGTATGGTTATCCATTTCCCAGCTCACAGAGTGTTAAATATAGCACTTGGGCTTTGTCTGTTGTAGGGACATGGGCTATTTGCAGGACTTAACTTCCTGAAGTACAATGTTGCTTGTATATGAGGCTGGATACTGTGTCATTTCTACTTAAAAACTTCCAAATGAAGGTTAAAAAGGGGTCCCTGTCTTCAGGGAGGTGCAAGTCACGGATAGATTCCTGCACAAACTGCTAATTTCTAAATCTCTCTCTTGTATTTATGCCAAACAGCTGATAACGCTGCTGTGAACCTGCTTGAGCTTCCTGACAATTAATAAAACCAAAGAGACCGTGCTAAGAGTGAAGCTTCTGTTTCCAGCACTTGTGCATTCAAAGACTGCAGGAATTGCTCTCCCACATCCACTTCAACAGCAGGTGACCTCTCCAGTACCAAAAACCCAGAAGCTTCAAAGCAGCAGCACAGGTAACATGCAACTATTGTAAAACAAACAAACAAACAAACAAACAACAAAACAAACCAAAAACCCAACAATTTCCTGGCTCTTGCTAATCAGCTGGAATTTCTCTCCTTTTAGTCTGCAAAACTAGTTAACTGTGAGAATGAGGGTGACCCATTTGCAAAAGAACACCATGCACATATCATGAGACAAGAAGCTAGAGGGATAAGACTTCTTAAACTTTGTTTTAGCACATGCACTGAAATCACTGCCATACAGAAAGGCAATTTTAACAACAGTTTTTCAGTCTCCAGGGAGACTGAAGAAATGGTGGCCACTAAAGAAAAAAGAAACCCTGATCTATCAGAGCTGGATCTGACAGGTAGTTCTACAGCATAGATACTACTTCCACAATAAGCAAACCAAAACTGCTTGGGCCTCCTGCTGGGGCAACTGTTCTAGTAAACAGTATGACTATTGCCCTACATATTCCTGGGACAGAGAACACTTGTTGCACTCCATCCACAAGGAAAAAAGGACATAAATACTTGGATGTTTGCCTATGTAGATAGGGACTGCTGCAAGGAAATACAGCGTAGTTAGATGTACACACACTGTTGAGGAAAGAAATCAATACAGAAATTTTCACTGTAGCCAATTTTGGGTAATGTAATAAATGAATTGTTCAACACACACTGTCCTGTTATTTATCTGGCAGACAGGAAGGGGAAGCAGCACTTAAATGCAAGAAAGCCAAGATAGGGGGGATGAGTTACAAACCGAGGATAAAAATTATGGGGATGGTTGTGGAAACGAGTAAGGTATCTAGGACCTGAAAAGTTTATTAACCATGGCTGAAAAGCATTCAAAAGAGGCCTCTAAATAAACTTTCTCACTACATGTCTAAACAAAGCAAAATTGCTGGACCTTAAATAAAAGTGCTCAATGCTGGCCTAGAGGCATGGTCGGGCTGGTGATTAGTTGCCTTGGATATTCGGTGGCCTATCCAAAAAACGAGACATGCTGATATGAGGTCAAAAACTTCCACAGCTACCAAAAACTACCTGTGCTGCTCAGCATTTAGAGCCGCGCTGGGATCAGTTGAATTAATCTTACTTTGTTCAGGATTTGGTTTATGCGTCCGGTAAAGAGACATTTTTGCTGTACAGACAGGGGTGTTTACGAGATAAACTCACGGATGCCCCGAGTCTTGTTTTGCTGAGCTGTCTGTGAGCACGCCAGCCGAGAAATTTATTCCGGCGCTCACGATGATGCCAAATCACTTTTGGGGGCGGCGGTGGTGGTGCTGCTGTTGGCTGCGGGGTGGGTGTTGTGTGTGTGTGTGTGGGAACGCAGAGTTCACCCTGCCGCTGACACGCTGGAAAAAAAAACCACATCAAAGCGCCACTAAGAAAACAAATCGGGGGAACCGCGGACCGGCGGCAGGCAGACCCCCCCTCCCTCCGCCATCCCGCCTCCTCCTCCTGAGATGGGTCGGCTCGGGCAGATGGCCCCTTTTTTTTTTTTATTTTGTTTTTTTTTATTTTTTAGCCGCAGGTTTTTTTTATTTCCCTTGGTGTCGCTCGCTCCGGGACACCGGGGCTGCCAAACCCGGCAGGGCCGTGCGGGGCGGGGCGGCCCCGGGCAGGGGGCGGCGCCGGGCGGGGACGGGCAGGAGCGGCAGGGCCGGCGGGCCCGGGCCCGGCCCCGGCCCCCTCCCCGCGGGTATTTAGCGGCGGCGCGGAGCAGGCGGGGCTCGCGGCGGCGACATGGCCGCCGCCTGCACGGAGCCCCCGCAGCTGCAGCGGCTGCTGGAGCGGGACCCTTACCTGACGCCCTTCCGGACCGACTTCCAGCGCAGGTACCGCCGTGGGGGGAGCGCCGCGAAGAGCCGCCCGCCCGCCCCGCTGTCCCCTCCCCTCGGCCGGGGCGGCTCCGCTGCCCTTCCGGTGCGGGCGGAGCCGCCGCCGGGGCCTCGACCGGGCTGGCAGCTGCGGGGAGGCCTCGGCCGCGGGGCCGGCGGGTCCCGGCACGTCCCGGCACGTCCCGGCCCGGGGTGTCCGCGCTGCGCCCCGCGGGCCCTCCCGGCTGCGCCGGTGGGGCGGCGGCGGGTCCCCGTGAGCCGGGCCCCGTGGGGCGCAGCTGGGGCACCCTGCGAGAATCGTGGAATCACAGAGTAGCCGGGGCTGGAAGAGACCTGTAGAGATCATCTGTTTTTCAACACCCCCTCCCCCCAAGACTGAGTTGCTCAGAGTTTACATCCAGGCTGGCCTCGAACGCTTCCAGGCATGGGGCATCCGTAGCTTCCCTGGGGAATCTGTTCCAGTGCCTCTCTGCTCTCACAGTAAAGAATTTTTTTCCAGTGTCTAATCAAAACATGCTCTCTTTCAGTTTGAGTCTGTTCCCCCTTGTCCCGTCATTACGCACTCTTGCAAATAGTCCATCTCCACCTTCCCTGTAAGTTCTCTTCAGGTACTGGAAGGACACAATTAGGTCGCGCTGAAGCTTTCTCTTTCCTAGGCTGAGCAATCCTAATTCAGGCTTTCCTCATAGAAGAGATACTCCATCACTCTGATCAACTTGGTGGCCTCCTCTGGACTTGCTGGAACGGGTCGATGCCCCTCCTGTGTTGGGGAGGGGATTGCACCCAGAGCTGGATGCAGTCAGTACACGAGGGTGGTGTGCCGAGCCGCTGTTGCTAATAAAGGTGTTTTTCAGTCTAGCTGTGGTAATCTGTAAAGAAACTGCTCCTGAATCTCGTCTTTCTGGAGAATTTTCCTGCAGGCGTGTGTTTTGAGATAGCCCCGAACCGCCAGCTCAGCTGTTCAGCAGACCTGCGGTGGGTGAAGTACCAGAGCATGCGTTAGGTTGGTGCCAGGTTGTCGGTCTGAGTATCCCTCTTTTTGTGCCTCTCGATGGGAACTGTGACACCAACCCTCTGACCGGGGCCTGGGCGAAAGCCTGCCAGCAGCAGCTCGGGCAGAGGCGGCCTGTGTCCTGCACAGCCAGGCTGCAGGCCTGAAAAAGCTGCTGTAGCCTCCCTGGCCAAAAGAACAGAGTGATTGGGAGCTTTTGTGCAACACATTTATGTCTTGTTTCACTAGCAGTCCTCTGATAATCAAAATAATTGTAATAGTGCCCTGTAGCTCAGAAGTGTGGAAAAGTCTGTGTCTGTGGAAGGGATGCAAGAAGGAATTTGATTCCCTCCCCCCAAAGTCTGGTGGGGATTTTTTTCTGTTACTGTATTCTACATGGTTTAGCATTACTAGGTGTCTGTCCTCTGGGGTTCTGGTATTGAATAGTGGTAAGGCTAGATCTTGTTAAAATGGGATTAAGGATTAAGTAAACTATGAGGCTGACTTGCAGTGTATGTAGTAATCTCTTAATGGCAGAACAACTGAGTGTTTTAAACAATGGTTCCTGGCAAGCTTCTAGTCACGCATGCAGTGTTGTAAAATACCTAATTCTTTCAGTGGGGTGCCAGGGTGTAGGAATTAATAAGTGGGCAGGTCTGGCTCTTAATAAAACCATTCATTAAAACACTTGGGCTTCCCAAATGTGCCTGCCATCTAAGTGATTGTGGATAATGATATTTGTGTTTCTGAGGATAGGGTAGCTGTACTGAACAGAGTGAGTTTGCAAAATGTTTGTGTACTTCTCAGGTTTGTACACCTGGAGCATTGAACTGGTCCAGTCTGTATCTTGTCACTTTCTGGCTTCTGAACTTCCCACTGGTCCCTTGCCATAGAAATATTGTGGAAATGTGTCATGTTTAAAAACATTAGGGAAAACTTTTGTGGCAACCTGTGGGAAATTAGATGTCTTGTTCTAAGCCCAAACAAGTAGTGCATCTTGTCGATGGTAGAGAGTGCCAAGGAGAAGGAGTTGTAAGCACAGGAAAATACCTGTTGGTGTCTCCATGTAATGCTCGTTCCAGGTGCTATGAATTGTGACTCAGTCTGTATTTAATAGCTTCAGGTGTTTTTTATCTGGAGGCCTTTCATCAAGAGTGCCCAGGAGAAAGGATTTTTGCAGCCTAATTGATGCTTGTGTGAGGAGCCAGTTCATTGGGGCCTTCAGTATGTGAGACTTTCTTATTTATGTCCAGTTCCTGTGCTGGGGGAGGTGGTGAACAGCCCTGCACAACTCTGTGCACTGTCTGTGAAATCCTGAGCAGTGTACTGGCCATTACTAGTGCTTCATGCTCTTTATTCCAGGCTGAAGGGTCTTGATGTGTTTGACTGGTGGTTGTGTGACCCATCACTGTGGTATGGGACTGTTGTGAAGTAACTCAGTGGATCTGGTTTCCTACACCATACATGGTGTAGGAAAAGGCTGTCATGAAGCAACCAGGAACATGCTCTGTGCTGTCGAGCAATTGGGTGTTAAGGGCTGATTGACTGACAGAGGATTAAGGATGCTTGAGAATCAAAGCTTTTTAAACACTTGTCTGTGAAGATCCTTGTATTATGCCTTGTGCAGAAACATGTGAAATCGTCCTCCCTTTGTCTTGCTCAGTAACAGTTCTTCTGTAGAAGTGAGAGGAAAATAAAAGACTTGGGGTTTATTTTTGGCAGTGACATCAGCAAGTTGCTGACTTGCCCTTTAGGCTTGAGTCTTTCTGCTCTTCTATCCATAGCACTGTATTAGCATGGCCTGTTGTTGTTAGTGGAAAACTTTATAGCTGTGTGTGCCTGGCTGTTGTATAATGCACAGCTAATTTGGTGGTGATGGTTTATTCTCACAGCCAAAGCCAGACCATTTCTGTTGTTGGATTGGATTGCTCAGGACCTTGTTGGTTTGTGCTGTGTCTGGGGGTGTGCTTCCTTGGGCAGCCTCTCCCTGTGCTTGGCTACACTCATTGTGACAAATTCTTTTTTTAAATACTGTAACTTCCCTTGCTGCAACTTTGTTGCTTCTAATCTTTTTTCCCCTTTGTACTTTGGAATACAGCCTGGCTTATTCTTTTCTTTAGGCACTCCCCCCACCTGTCCCTTTAGATTAAAATTATAGATAGATAGATATCAGCAACCCATGCCTCCTCAGGTTAGCTTTTTCATACCTAATCTGAGGAAACCCATCCCTGGGGCCCTACCTGTGTGCCAGAGGTAGGAGAAGACAGGCCAGGAATAAGAAGCTGCCTTTATACAGAGGCCATGGTGTGTCCTTGCCTGTCTATGCCTTGAGAAGTGCAGGCCTCTCCTGATGAGGTTCACATCTGCCTCTCCTGCCCTGTGCTGTGCTCCTTCACCCTCAGGATGGTGACCATGTCTTCATGACATCTTTGAGCCTTGTTTTGTTATTCCTTTTTCTTGGAGGGAGGGGATTGCTGAAGGATGGACGGGCCTCAGTCACATCAGCCTGGGTTCAGCAGTAGTGTGATTATACTGATTCACCTTGAGAGTTGCCAGATTCATGATGAAATGAATCATGATGTTGCCTCAAGGTTTGAAAATTTTCCTTTGGCTTTCAAGGACTGTTGCCTTTAACCTCTCTTAAAGTGTAACTTATTGCTTTAGGCAGCTGACTGTTTTCTCTCTTTTTCATAAAGCCTTGAGAAACACTGAATGAGTGCTTTGATGGGAACAAAGGGCTTCTCTAAAGATGTAATGCCTAAGATGTGATGGTAGGACCTAGTTATGGAGTATGGACTGACACAGTTAAATGAGATAGGAAGAAAGAGACCTCTGGTCACATTCCCTTTTCAATACTTTGTCATGCCTGGGCATGTTATTGCAAATGGTGTTCATGGGGAAAATAGAAATCCGTAATTTTTCCTTTCTCCGGATGTCTGAATTTGACCCTGAGTTGAGGAGGGAGCATTTTCTCTGGGGAAGGAGAAAACTGATGTATAAATAGTGAAACATTCAGCCTTGACCCAAATACACACTATTCAGAACTCTAAACAAGAATCTACTTAAAACAAACAAACAAACAAAAATCACCAAGTGATAGTGTTTGTGTAGGATATCACTGTGCTACATTGTTTGACCATCTGTGATATGTCTCCCCACAAGTATTTTGTTAACTCCCAAGTGTTATTTATACTAAAGACTTTGTGTAATTTAGTATGTATTTTTAGTCTTTTACCTCTTAGAGCATAATTGGTTCAATTAAAGCCATTAATGCCTGTGGTGTAATTGCATTTTATGGAATTACAAACTGGTGTTAGAAAGTGCTGCCCATTAGAATTTTCTGCTATAACAATGTGCATGGCTTATGATATTTTACCAGTCCCTGCAACTGCCTCTAATCTCCTGACTATGTAGTCCTTGGTGAAAGCTTTTTTTTGAGTAGTTCAATTTATAGAATAGATGAGAAAAATTTTACCAATACATAGCTTCAGTCTCTATGTTCAAACAACACTGATTTGTTCAGTTAGATAAAATGCTTCCCCTAGTGCTTGATCATATGTATGGATTGAGAGAGAGAAGGTTCCATTGCTTCTGAAGTGTCGGTGAAGACAGGAACATCTTCTCAGTGGCTTTTGTAGCTGTATGAATTACCAAGATGTCTGTCATTTGGTTCAGAGGTTTCTAGTATTGTTCTTACATCCCTCCACTCTTACAAAAGGGAAGTACTTTCTGTCCTTCCAGTTGTATCTCTCATTGTGTGTGTGCTTAATATCAGATTAATGCTGCTTTATGGCTCTGTATTTTTTTGTCTATTTTAAAGGAGCAGAGTGGTGGGTACTTGACTGAGGTATTGAAAATGAAGAGGTGTCGGGTTGGGTTTGATAGGGCTGAGTAGGAAGGCAGCTGTTGGGTTCTAGCAAGTTTGGGAATGGAGTTGAAGAATGACACAGCTGGAATCCTAGTTTTAGATGAAGATGGGGAGGGGAGAAGGACTGGAGTGTGATCTGTCACAAATGAACACAACCACTATGTATCATCAGTGTAGGGAACCAAGCTATCAACTCAGGAAAAACTGGATTTTCCTTTTCTGTTTTGTCTCATACAGGCTGTTGTTTTGGGTGTGCAGAACTAAACGTTTATGAAAAACAAC